CTGTTCCTTGATTTTTGATCATATCGTTGACTATGATGCTTTGACCGTGAGTCTTTCCCTGCAGGTCCCATATATGGATCGTACCTGTTTTTACCTGATCTTTTTTCGGTTTCTGATCTCCTGGAATTGCTCCTCTCTTCATGACGAAACTGAGGTACGGTATCTTCCTCAATTCGCAACTTCGTACTATACCTGTTATAAACGTCATTCCACGTGGTTGCAGGAAACTCTCGAAGGCTTTCTTTAAGTCTTCTCGTGGCTTCTGAGCTTTTGTCATTTAAGTTGCTTGCAAAAGCTATTGCAGCCCAGTTATCAGGTACACGAGGTAAAGTCATTCTTTCACGTTGGAATCTATCAACAAAATCCCTGAGCAACTCGGAGTCCCCTTGCTTGATTTTGAAAATATCCTCCATTCTTTTCTCAACCTTTTGAGCTCCCGAGTGTGCTTTAATAAAAGAATCTGCAAGCTCAGCAAAAGAATTAATAGAATTTTCGGGTAAAAGAGAATACCAGGTTAATGCACCCTTGGTGAGTGTTTCTCCAAATTTCTTGACCAGTACTGATTCAATTTCTTGTTTGGTCAAGTCATTGCCTTTCACGCCTGTTGTAAATGCAGTTACATGATCACGTGGGTCTGTTGTGCCATCATATTTTGAGATGTCAGGCATTTTAAACTTTTTAGGGATTAGAAGGGGAGCAGCACTTGGTTTCCAAGGTTGTTGTGAGTATTTATCCACATACACTCCTTTAATTACCGGGGGAACTCCAGGGATTTGCTCGATGCGCTCATTTTGTTCCTTAAGCNCGGCTTCTGAGCTTTTGTCATTTAAGTTGCTTGCAAAAGCTATTGTAGCCCAGTTATCAGGTACACGAGGTAAAGTCATTCTTTCACGTTGTAATCTATCAACAAAATCTCTGAGCAACTCGGAGTCCCCTTGCTTGATTTTGAAAATATCCTCCATTCTTTTCTCAACCTTTTGAGCTCCCGAGTGTGCTTTAATAAAAGAATCTGCAAGCTCAGCAAAAGAATTAATAGAATTTTCGGGTAAAAGAGAATACCAGGTTAATGCGCCCTTGGTGAGTGTTTCTCCAAATTTCTTGACCAGTACTGATTCAATTTCTTGTTTGGTCAAGTCATTGCCTTTCACGCCTGTTGTAAATGCAGTTACGTGATCACGTGGGTCTGTTGTGCCATCATATTTCGAGATGTCAGGCATTTTGAACTTTTTAGGGATTGGAAGGGGAGCAGCACTTGGTTTCCAAGGTTGTTGTGAGTATTTATCCACATCCACTCCTTTAATTACAGGGGGAACTCCAGGGATTTGCTCGATGCGCTCATTTTGTTCCTTAATTTGTTTCTGCAAAGTTAATACTAAATTTTGCAAATGAGAATTATTTGAATTACCTGGTTCTCCTTCCTGTGGTTCACTGGGGGTTCCTCCATTTCCAGAATTAACAAGGCCAAAACGAGGATTCTCCAATGTATTATTATTAGGTGTGGGTGGTGAAACAGGTAATCGACTAACTAGAGCTTGAAGAGCTTTATTAACCCGTGCATCAATTACTTTTTGTAAAGCTTCATCTACCCCTTCAAAATGTTCAGATTGCTCTTGTTGATAAGCACGAGATTCAGGAGCAGGAGTGCCTTCACGAGATTGACGTGGTGAATTGTGAGGGGAGGGAACCACGTCAATGTTCTGTAAATCTCCTTGATTTTGATGGATTTGATTTTCATGGTTTCCCAAGGTGTTTTCACTGTTATTGTTGTTTGACATGATGATAACAACGGCTGGAATGTAGCTTAAAAGAGAAGATTATCACATTCCCGGTAACGGAACCAATTTGTTTAACCAAAAATCTGAGTCTTTGGTCAAAGCTTAGAAATATAAAGAAATTCAGGTTACTGATAATCTGGAGACGAAAATAATAAAAGACTTTTGAGAATAATAAAGTAATAAGTAATTTTGTATTTCAGTATAATCTCAATAATATTTCTTGTCCTTATATATGTTGAGTCCTTTTCCTTTTATAGTTGATTCTAGGAGAATATGTAATGCCTTTGTCTTAACGAGGCAATTATGAGCAATAAATGACATTAAAAGAAACGTTACACAATCATTTCTATTTAATTCAGATTCTCTAACGTATTTGATATTTAATGTTGTATTTAGACTCTTTCACGTCATCAGATTCGTATCTTCAACTTCTTCCGATCTTCAGTCTTTAAATGACTCGAATAGGTACGAGACTTGTACCTATTTGAGTAATGGTCCACACCTATGTTGTTTTCTTCTCCTCATATCTGTTGTCTCCCGTGTCTCTTGGCTATTTATTGCGTTTTGACCTTTTGACCAGTCCATGTGTCATGACACGTCATCTTCAATATTTAGATTCAGTTTTTTTTCAATACAGTATGTATGACAAGTATTTAAAGTTCTAACACTATTAAGGGGTCATTTGGTTTGAATACAAGTTATGGTGGGATTAGTTGTTCTGATATTATTTCGTATTGATTGTTTGTTATGTTGTATTAATCCTGGGATTGTCAACTTTACTAGTTTATCCTAAGATTACTATTCCACTCTCTGACAAGTATAAGTTATCCCGGTACTATTTTTAATCCTCGGATAACTTATCTCATGATTACTAACCAAACAAAGGATCGATACAACGGTACTAAATTTTTTATCCCATAATTATTTTTGCTTATCCATCGTACTAAACTACCCCTTAGTTCATTGAAAGCACTTACCTTTTTACTAGAAAAGAATTCCTACTTTTCAACCAATTGCTTTGCTATTGCAACTTCCACATACATGATAAAATATAACTTGATGGAAATAAAATATCATAATTTTTAACTTCTCTCCCCTGCACCAAGAGAGAGAAGGTAAATCAATCTCTATGAAAGGATAAATATGGAGAATTATACATATAATTGAGTAATTTTACAAAAACTATATATTCATACTAAACTCGAACTCCCTCTCGCGAATTACTAACTCGTTGATTTAAAATTATGAATTCGCATATGAGAATGAATATATAACAAAATAGTGTGACAAATCAAACCAACTAGGTTGAGATCGAGATTAGTTGATTGTTACAGTCAGACCTTTCTATAAGAGCATCTCTATATAACAGACTAACAGTCATTCACTATAAAAGTAAAAAAAATAATAATTTGGAGCCGACTTTTATGTTATTTTATGATATATGTCCTGCTATAACAGCACTTCAATATAGCAACAAGAAAAATATCGGAACAAACGAGATTGTTATAGAGAGATTTGACTGTGATAGGTTAAAATTTAAAATTATATCCCCAGAAATAACACCAAAACAAAGTATGACCTTTGTACAAATGCCATACAAAAAGAGAAGTTGACAATCAACGAAAACTATTACATAATCAACCAAAACAATACAAAAAATGAAAGAATGCTAAATGATCAATAATAAAGAGAAGAAAGAACCTTTTTTTTTTACCTAAGTAGAAGATGAAAGGAAGAGTCTTTGATCTGTAAAGCAAACTGAAATGCAAAGAAATGGAGAAAAAGGATAAACATGAAAAGAAAAACGAAGAGGGGTGATTTAATAAAATTATAAGTATAAAGAGAGCAAGAAAAGATAAAGTAAGAGTAAAAAAAATTCGTTAAATAAAAGAGAAAGATTCAGAAATAAGAGTATATAGTGAAAAAGCAGATCTAAGCTTCAAAATGAGGGGATAATAATTATTTTAGAACCTAATTAAACTGCCAAAATGAAGTCCTGGTCTTCTGGGGAAATGTCATGTTACCTACCTTTTGGACTTGTGTAACTAACTTTTTATCTTTGTTACAGTTATCAGAAAGACAATGGAATTTATTGTAAAAATCTTGGCTACTGAACTTATTGGGGATGTTTTTTATTTATTGTTCACTTCTATATTTATTCATTTATTTATTATTAATATTTCGGGTCAATTTGTGCGCACCGCACCTATTTCTTCCATTATCGGTTAACTTTCCCATTCAGAAAACAGTGTTAGGCTTGAAATCGTCTAATGCTCAAATCAATATGGAATGAAGTAAGTTCAAATTGAGCGAATTACAAGACGAGAATTCACATAGCAGATCCCAACTAATTTGAAATGAGAGTATAGGTACTGGCTAAGATTAAGTATGTGAGGAGTCGTAGTAACTGATGCAGACAATACTTTAGCTAAAAAAAAAAAAAAAAAAAAAAAAAAAAAAGAATTCAGAATAAAGCTCCTCAATTAAGAGACAAGGGAACTTGCAAGCTAATTCAGTAACTCAACAACAACAACAATAACGACCCAGTACTAATGGGATCTGGGGAGGGTAGTGTGTACGCAAACCTTACCCCTACCCCAAGAGAGTAGAGAAATTGTTTCCGAAAGAACCTCAACTTTAGAAGACGAAAATAGACAATATCAGTATCACCAATAGAAACCATAGGAAAAAAAACATCATGAAAGTGAAAAAGTAGATGCAAAGCAAAAGCGATAGACAGTACATAGATCCAGCACTATGAAAAACGAAAGAGTAGCAAGAAACAACATTGCTACTAGCTGACTTCGACAATAACCCTATCGACACAACTTTGCTCACCCGTACAGTGTTGTTGATATTCAAAGCAACCCCCCGCCCCCGGTTCCACCGACTTTTTACAAGAGTAGAAATTAAGTGCTGTAAAGCAAGCATTAAGAGCTTAGCATAGTGCTTTTATCAATCTACATAAACTATGCTGTAACGTAAACTACTTTGACTGCCTGAACAAAATTCAGCACTTCCATCAAGGAAACATGCTGCTATATCCCAGCCTTGCCACTGGTATTGAAATTCAGTCGCTTACAGTGAAAGGCGATTATAACAAATAATCTACAGCCCTTTTCATACTGCGACAAATTGAAGACGATATAGCATCTACAGTACATTCAGTGTGCCAACACTGGTAAAAAGCTATAATGCCATTGGCGTATCTGAACCATCGACAGGGGTCAGCAAAATATCAAATCAACTTTGTAAACAATACGGGGAAACATTATTCAGTAGAATAATAGTCAATGAAAAAGAGCATGTAATTATTACAGTTTTCATCCATAAAAATTTCAAGTCTATAACAAATATCTCCTACTGAAACTGCAGAGTTGAGCCATCATGTCCTATGAGCCAGCAACGTCAACGCCTCTTCTTCCTGAAAAAAAAGAGAAGATGGCCAAGTGGAAGAGCTCCTAAAACTCCCCATAAATCATCCTTACATCCTACCTTTCCAGCTTTTATCCAAGTTTACAGAAAGAGCATTAGAAAAACAAGCTCTTTGGATGAAAAACACTAAAAGGGACCAATAATCCCGTCACTTTCTGACATTATACACAGCTACGAAAAATGAGACTTGTCACAAAAGAGAAAGAACCAAACCTTTCCTTCAAAAAAAGGATGAAGAAAAGTTGAAAAGAGGGAAAAGAAACATGGAAAGATAAGGTGGGCAGAAAGGAAAAAGTTGGAAAAAAATAGAAAAAGACACATAAGTTGGAGGAGGAAGAGGAGCTTTAGGCATTAAAACGGCGCCCAACATATATGCATCCCCTTGATTCTAGCCTTCGACAGTTTTTCTGCCATGGAGGCATAGCAGAAGATTATGTTCTGAAAAGGGCAGCCAGATGATGATCTTGAGAACTATTTGCAAGTATGACATCTTAGCATCTCCACTAACAGCTTACAGATTCAGGACTTATTTGTCCAGTGCTTCCACCGTGAGCATTGGATCCAGTCACAGGCATGGACCTCTGAGCAAAATTCAACAACAGCTTCCTCTGCTGCTCATTTGTGTGCGGGAGACTAGCACGTAAAAGTTCGACCGGCATCTCTCTGCTTACAGCTCTTGCAGCTTCTGCATCAAACGTCTCTGTGTTTGACTGAGTCTGTGGAAGTATCGATTGCATTATTGAGTCGTACTTACTCAAGCAATACTTAGTAAGTAAGCCAAAAAAGGCATCAAATGATGCCTGCCAAAGAGCAGGATTAGGCATGCTGAAGCTGCTAACAGCCTGAGGATCAGTCAAGAGATGAGTTGCCTTTTCAAGAACAGATTTAAGAATAATAGAGGCTCCATCTCCAGCAGGGCTTCCAAGAGGACGAAGAGGCGGCTGCTCTGAGGAACAAACAACAGCAGCTAGACAAGCACTAAGCAAATTAAGGTCCATGCCACGGGTACATACAGAGACTGTTTTTGCAAAATTAGTGATCGTCTCAGTGGCTCCTGGATTAGGTGGATGACTGCCAAACAAAAACCTTAAATGCCGAAAAATTGCCATGCAAACTATTCTTGCAAGCTCGCCACCGGGTGCCAGAAGCTGAAGATACCTTGAAATGAGTTTCCGGCCTTTTGGAAGAGACACCAGCCATAAGAACACAATG